GGTTTGGGTTGGAAGGGACCTTCAAGACCGTCTAGTTCCAACCCCCCCGCCATGGGCAGGGACACCTTCCACTAGAGCAGGCTGCTCAGAGCCCCATCCAACCTGGCCTTGAACACACCCAAGAATGAGGCATCCATTACTCGAGGCAACCTTTTCCAATACCTTACCATCCTCACAGTAAAGAATTTCTTCCTTATACCTAGTCTAAACTTACCCTCTTTTTGCTTAAAGCTGCTACTCCGTGTCCTGTCACTACGTGCCCTTGTAAAAAGTCCCTTTCCTTCATTCTTAGAGGTTACCTTCAGGTGGTGGCAAGTTGCAATTAGGTCTTTTCCAAATGAACAATACCAATTCTCTCAGCCTTTCCTCGTAGGAGAGGTGCTTCATCCTATCCATCTAATAATTTTCGTGGCCCTCCTCTGGACTCACTCCAGCAGGTCCATGTCCTTCCTGTGCTGGGCCCCCAGAGCTGGATGCAGCACTGCAGGTGGGGTGTCACCAGGGAGGAGCAGAGGGACAGAATCCCCTCCCTCACCCTGTTGGCCAGGCTGCTTTTGAGACAGCCCAGGATACCACTGGCTCTCTGGGATCCAAGTGCACGTTGCTGGGTCGGGTCCAGCCTCTCATCCACCAGAACCTCCAGGTCCTTCCAGGCATGGCTGCTCTCGATCTGTGCATTCCCAGCCTGTGTTGTTACCAGGGATTGTCTGGACCCAGGTGCAGCACCCTGCACTTGGCCTTGTTAAACCACATGAGATTTGCACAGGCCCACTTGAGCTTATAAAATGGCTTATAATCATGAAATTATGAAGTTGAGTTCAACAGTCAGGGAATTCAATATACTACACTGTATGTAGCAAATCTTACTATATCTAAGTTTTCCAGTTTGTATCAAATAATGTGGACCTTGGCACTCCTGACCTAAATAAGGATTTCGTGCATAGTCAAAGAGCAATAAACAAACCACCATTAGGGAACACTAGTTATTATTATTACAATTTAGAAAAAGAAAAAGCAGAAGGTATTTGAACAATGAACAAAATTGTAATGGGCTTTGAGGGACAAAGTGTAGTCCCAAACTGATGAATGAGGATTTGGCCATTACAACTACAATAGCTGTCATAGATCAGGCTTGCTTTTTCGGATCAAATTACAAAGCTCTTAAGTGCTACCAGTGAATATCTGGAGCTCTTATGAAGCATATGTGTCTCCTAAATTTATCTGTGGAGAAAGAGGAACATTTTGCTTTGTTAGCACTGCAACGTAGTGTGAAATCTGTCTCTCAGAAGAAAAATAAAAGCTAATAATGAGCTGCAATGTATTAAAATGGGCACTGGTTCTTTTGAAGTGCTGCCTAGATCCATGCTAGCAGTTTGAAGCCTTTGTAACAATCCATAACAGGGCCAAAAAGTGCACTACCAAACTTGCAGGGTAGTATTGAAGAGAATAATAGAAAAAAAAGATCCCTTGAAATGTGTGCCCACCTGTCCTTCAAGCTCTAAGGGAGCCTCAAACTGTGAAAACTACATTTTCAAACCTCTGATGATGAAAGGCATCTGGTGGTGTATGCTTATTCTCAGGGATATCACTTCTTTTCCAGCTCCTCTAACTAGGTAGGTCCCCACCTCAGTTTGGAATAAGCTTTGCTGCTGATGCTTTCTACTGTGTGCACACAGCCTCCATTTCCCATTGTCACCAGTTAGCACTTGTTCTTTTGCTGTGTGGCTGCCTCCAGCCAGGCTCTCACTACCAACTCCTGCATCCTCAATAGGAGATCCAGGCCAGACAGTGTGTCCCAGCGTGCTGGCTCTCACCTTCAGCGTGGGGAGCAATGCTTTGGATAAACTTACCTGTCAATCAATCAATCATCTCTTCCACAGTGACCATGTTTCCTAGAACACTGTTCATCTGTCCCTGGTTTCTCCATGTGGATCCCATGCAAAACTCCCCACAGTGCTCAGCTGTAGCACTGGCAGTGACATAAAAAGTTCATTTCACATTCTTTAGAGAGAAGGGTTGGTTCTATTTATACACCCTACTAAGGGCAGTAGATTGATAACTCTGACTCATTGCTGGCTTGTGGGTTGTCACAGCTACTGGAACTTTTCCTGAAGTTTCTAGTACTATTTTATCATTCTCTGACTTGCAATTGGTGTTACCAGAGAAATTAGTGCTTACGTTTTCTGAATTGTATCCTGCTTTTTTCAGGGATTTGTGAAGTTCTGAATTTCAACCTAGTCTTTCCCATCTTAGTGTTGCCTGCATATTTAATAAGCATATTCTATTCTGTAATCCAGTCCATTGATGAAAACAGTGAATAATTTTAGATCTGGGACAAATTTCTTTGTGGAGTGCTTCAGAGATCCAGGGATGTGATTTGTAAAATGTTTTCCATTTTTTCCTTGTATTTTCATAGTTGATGAGATGGTGAGTGCCATCTGTGTCATCAGATGTGCAGGCTTTGTTATGAAAGACCGTACAATTATGGCTACATTTATAGGCTATATAAGGCTAAGTCTGTAAGACTACAACTGAGACTGTAGCTATAATGATTTAAAAAACCTTGACTACAACATCATCACTTTGAGGAGTTATCTGAAGGCCTATCACTATCCTGTCAGTAAAACCAGTATTGAAACTATCTTTTCTTCAGGAATGTGGCATTTTTATTTATTAGTTTCTGTGCTAAATAGGTGTGTGTAGGAAAAATTTAGAAGAGCTTCCAATGATCCCAAAACCTGTAAACTGGGGAGAAAATTTCTATGGTGTGTTCTAAGTTAAATTTATTTTTGTAAGAACATTCAGAAAAATTATTATAGCAGAGGCTTTTCTGAGAAGCTGCAATGCTGAGAAAGATTTTGCAGAAGCCCCTTTCACTAAATAAAATGTAATAGAAATTAAAAGCAGTGCAGGCTTGGATTGTATGTGCAAACATCTGCTATTGAGAGGCAGCTATCAGAAAACGGTACCAGCCAGAACAAATGGGGACACTAAAGGAAATGCAAATAAGTCTACTACCTGGTAAAGTCCTGGATCAGGGAACGGATTAATTTCCTGCAATATATTCTTAAAATACAATAATAGTAAATATTACTGGGTTTAATCCCAGGCACTTGTTAGTATAAGAATGATCTTGACAGCATATTTGAAAGACTACCCAGAATCACCTTAGTATTTCTCATCCTGAAGCTTAGTAGAATGCATGATATTGATAACCATCCTCCAGCATGAACCTGAAGCAGGTGCGTCATTATTCAAAATTCAAAATTAAGGCTCTCATCCTGTGGTAGCTAAATTTTCAGTGACTTCAGGCAAATAATGGCCTTGGCTTCAATAGTTTGTTTTCACATTCTGAACATGAGTTCACTGTCTTGACTAAACTTGTTCGTATAAATTTGTGATGTCAGTATATAGAAGTGCAACCATGTGGGAATCTGATCAGAGCTGATCTGCTTTGCTCAGAAGTAAAACTTTATCTGTGTCAGTAAGTCACTTTTCCTTCAGTGCAGAACACAGTCAGGTGGTTTTAATGCTATGAGACAGCAAATAAAGTGGAATCATGTGCTTAGTTCAAATTAGTATCTACCCTCCAGCTGACTCTGTCAGTCTTGCTGCCTCAATGAAATGCTGGAGGAAATGCTACTTTGTGGCTACAGAGATAATCAGTGTGCTTTTAAAGCATGCTTTGTTTTAGTTTTGCTTTTAAACAAAGAACCATTTATTTATCTGCTAATAAATATTTATCTACTGATCACTCTAACATCATCTATTAACCCGATAAGAAAAAAAAGACCAATGTTCTTTTATGGGAGCCATATGGATAACCCTTTGTAGAGGCTTGTTGAGTACTTCAGGATACACTCGCTGAGCAATAACCAAGAATCAGACATAATTTATGATCTGCAGTGATTACAGTTCCTGAACTCCCCATGTGCTGCCATGTACCACACAATTCTCACTTTCTGAGTCCAAAAGTCAAAGTCTAGTGTGCCCTGTGTTGAGAAATAAAATTATTTTGGCATCAACTCTGGTACCTTCAGTTTCCAGCTTTCCTGGAAACGAGAGGCCAAAGAAATCCTCTCTCCTGTAAGGCCATCGTCAGTTTACATTGATTATGCAAATCATAGAATCAATAAGGTTGGAAATGAGCTCCAGTAGCCAGTCCAGTCTTTGACTAAACACCACCACGCCAACTAAACCATAGCACTAAGTGCCACATCCAGTTGTTTCTTGAAAACTTCCAGAGATGATGACTCCACCACCTCCCTGGGCAGCCCATTCCAATGCTTAACTGCCCTTTGAGTGAAAAAATTCTTCCAGATACCCATCCTGAACCTTCCCTGGTGCAACTTGAGGTCATTTCCTTTCATCCTGTCACTGATTGCCTGGAAGTAATCCAGGCACCCAGCTAAAATGTCTTTTCAGGTTGTTGTAGAGAGCGATGCATTTAATGTCCCACATTAAACCATTTGACAATGTTTTCTGAGGAGTATTTCCTAGGTCACTGAATCCTGGCCCTACTGAGAAAATGTATGTAAAATTCCTCTTACAAATTGACTGTGCTCTGTGTTATAAATAATTAAGCTCAGCTGAACAAGATCCTTTTTCAAATCTTGTTAAGCTGAATCCTAAATTAATTTATAAAAAGTTTATATCTAGTAGTTCTGCACTAATGTCATCCTTTGCATTCCATAGTTGTCCATTTTTTGTTCCATAGCACTGTTTTCCTTAACTTACCGACATAGAGTTGTTAACCCTTTTCAGCCCCGTTTCTAGCCTAAACAGACCTGTCTTTGGTAGGATCTTCCTGTGAGACTCTTTCTTCTCCCTGCCACCCTGATTCTTCTTTGCACTTCTTCCAGACTGAACTCTCGTTGAATATGAATAGGAGAATTGTGTGCAATATTCCAATTTCCATTCACCTCCTGTATGCAAGAGGTGAGTAACCTCAGGGGATCTGAGGGATGCTGGTTTGAAACAGACAGAGCCTAGATTTCCAGTTAGTTATAAACTATAACAACCTTTATTGTTGGCTGTAAACTGCCACTGAAAGAAGTTCTACCAAGAAATAAAAAGATAATATCTTGTGTATAACAATACCGCGTGTCCCATAAGAGTGTGAGCATCGCAGAGCATTTTTCTTTTGTTAATCAGTCTTTTGGTGAAGGCTGCTTTGCTTGTCCTTCGTTTAGTAGAGCTGCTCTTTCTCTCTCTTGCCAAGTTCCACCGGCACCAGTTTCTCCCTGCGCTGGCTCACCCCGCACAAAGGCGTCCTCACGTATTTCCTGCAGAAGCACAAAACCCCGCACACGTTGGCCGCTGCGGGCAGAGCGCTCTCCCCGCGGCACACGCCGGACACTGAGGGCGGGGCTGGGGCCCAGCAGGACGGCAGAACGCACCCCGGAGCGCCACCCCAGCGCCCGGGATGCCCCGGGATGCCCCGGGATGCCCCAGGAGGTTCCGGGATGCCCCGAGACGCTCCGGGATGTCACGGGATGCGCCGGGATGCCCCGAGATGCTCCAGGATGCCCCGGGATGCTCCGGGATGTCCCGAGATGCCCCGAGACACTCCGGGATGCTCCGAGATGCTCCAGGATGCTTCGGGATGCCCCGAGATGCCCCGAGATGCCCCAGGATGCCCCAGGAGGTTCCGGGATGCCCCGGGAGGCTCCGGGATGCTCCGGGATGCTCCGGGATGCCCCGGGATGCTCCCCCGAGATGCTCCGGGATGCCCCGAGATGCCCCGGGATGCCCCAGGATGCCCCAGGAGGTTCCGGGATGCCCCGGGAGGCGCCGGGATGCTCCGGGATGCCCCGGGATGCTCCCCCGAGATGCTCCGGGATGCCCCGAGATGCCCCGGGATGCTCCGGCGGCTGCCGGCGCTTCCCCGCCTGCCCGCGCGGGGGCGGCCCCGCCGCACGCTCCGCCCGGAGCGCCCGCGCACCGCCGGTCCCGGTGCCGGCTCCGGCTCCGGCTCCGGCTCCGGCTCCGGCTCCGGCTCCGGCTCCGGCTCCGGCTCCGGCTCCGGCTCCGGCTCCGGCAGGGAGGGATGCCTTTCTCTAAGAGGAGGGGAAGGGATAGCCCGAGGGCCAGCGGCAGCACAGTGGTTAGTCCGTAAAATAATTAGTCCATAAACAAGATTCTTCAAGCCTGTCTGACTGGCAAATGTTCTCCTATAATCTAAAAAATACTAAAACAAGATGGTACTAAGATGGTCACACATTAATTACTTTTACCGACAACACAAAGTATCTAGGCTCGTAGGTTAGTTTAGGTCGAAAAAGGCCTCTAAAATTATCGTCCAGCTGTTAGCCTAACACTGCTATCCTCACCATGAGACCATGTCCCCAAGTACCAGATCTAGCTAGTTTTTAAACATCTCCAGGGGTGGTGATTCCACCACTTAACAAGGAAGCCCCTTCCAACACCTTACCACCCTTTCAGTAAAGAAGTTTTTTGTAATATCCAATCTAAGCCTCCCCTGATGCAATTTGAGACCATTGCTTCTTGTCCTGTCACCTGTTGCTTGGGAGAAGAGACTGACCCTCACCTGTCATAGCACTTAGTAAAGACACTAGAAAAACTCATCTGCAACAGCTATCAAAATTCACATGGAGCCTTGAAGTGACACCCAGGACAAGTCAATTTGAAATACAGGATCTCTCCTTCCCATTTTCTGCATGCAACCCAAAACACACAGTCCTAAATGCAAGATCAGAGTCGCCCTCCCATCCAGGAATGCCAGACAGCAAAAGTGCTGAGAAGCCAGGCTTGGCTGCAGGTGCTCCTCAAGGGGGTGCTCAGAAACCACCTTGCCTTTAGGATCGGTCCTTCAGCACCAACAAAATGTTTGGTTGGCTACTGAAATCAACACGTGCAAGCTCAAGCCTTGAGAAAACTGGAATTTTCCCACATAGTTTCTTTTTTTTCAACACGTGGCGTTGAAAGCCTTTGTCTCTCTGGCACTTGAGAGGTGTAGTCACACGCTTGGTACTTACTGTTTAGCTAGTTCCATGGATATTTGCTCCAAAGAGCATCCTTTTGTCTCTGGTATAAACATGATAACAAAAGCCAGTGATGCTAGACTCATTATTGTGTAAATGAAGCACACCCAGGACAAGCCAACGAGCTCTACAAAGGAAGAAAACATGGGAGTTTTTTAGTCTTCAAATATCACAATTTTTCTTCCTGTTGCTGTATTTTATAGGATACAGCCCCTAATGCACAGAAGAAGTTAGAAAGAAGCTAGGCTGCTATTCTTAGCTCACATATATTGGAAAAAGAAGAGTGGCTTTGCTTTTTCTAATACTCCTTATGAAAGAAAATTAATGAGTTCGTATTGGCCCACTTGGCATGAACCTATTGGTTTATTTTATTAGCAATCAGTTTGCATGAAGAGAGTGAGTAGCCATTGTTACTGGTTTGTGGGAAGACAGTGGGGATCATGAGTGCCTTGAATTTTTGCCTGTGTCTGGTTTTAGTGCACATTCTTTCTTGGAGCAAATCCAAGCATTTTTCACACTATTACAGTTGTCTCCAGCTAATCCTCTCCACCTGTCAGTGCCCAGCATTTCCACTGCAAGTCATGGGTGCTGTGCCAGAAAGTGATCCAAGAGTGAACTCCTAATGGGGCCATCCAAGGACTAGTGTTTTTCTGAGCCTACAGTCCAGAGGCAGGCAGATCCTCGGGCCAAGGGATGCACTCTGCAGCCCCTGGAAAGTAAAGTGTATACAAACCCCACTGTCTGCTGCAGCCCCCTTAGCCCTTTTCCCTGCTAAAATAAACCTGGACAGTTGAGACATTTGTCACTTGTGTGATGAGCTGAAGATTGCAGCTGAAGCTTCTAATCCAGCTGGTACCTCTGCATCAGCACCTAAGTGCAGGTGCTGCTGGTCACTGCGACCTCCATGCATATTCATTTGACAAAAGCATTCTCAATCCTGCCTTTCCGCCGTAGACGAGGAATGGATATTTTCTTGTACTTACACTTTCATAAATCCAGATTAGACCCAGTTAAGACAAGGGAGTTACTGTGGCTTTGCAGTCTTTGAAACTGAGACCAGGATAATAGCGAGATGTACATTAACAAGTAACCCTGCATGACCAGAGGGGACCTCCTGGTGAAACAGCTGACACTGAGCGCCTGAGGTCTGCACTAGGTGGTTTTGGGGACATTTCCTTAGGAATAACTCAAGTCTGGTCCAAGGACTGAGCAAGTGTTGGCAGTCAGACTGCCTACAATATACATTTTCTCATTTGGTTTTGTCCAAAAGCTTGTGCAGTTCAGGAACGCAGTTCTGTGATGCAAACTGATGGGCAGTGAGTGAGAGTAACTGGATGGTGTCCTTTTGAAGAAGACCCTTGATACAACTGAAGTGAAAGTGTGAGCACAGTGAACTTTTTTATATTTTTCATAGTCATATTTTTCCTAGTTTTAATCAAGATAGTACTCAGGATGGAGGATATGTTTTTTTCTTTCTCTCTCTTTTTTTTTTTTTTGAAAGAAGAAAACACTCATTTTAGTAACGGATCACACTCATTTTCAAATCTGTCTCCAAAAATATATAACAAGGTGAAAACATCTTTGACTTTTTGTGATATCATTGTTTGCCTCTAGTGGGGAGTAATGTAGACTTAAGGAAAAGCTGAAATTTCTGCTCTCTTATATATTTTGATTTCCAGCACATATTTTCCTCACAATAAGACTGAAAACTAAAATTTGCAAAGCCTCATATTATATAGAATTAGAAAAATAAATTTGTTAATCAACAAATTTCAGCATTTAACCTTCCCCTTTGATTATCATCATATTAAAAGTCATTTCCAGTAGTTTGTTTTCTCACATTAAAATGTGAAAGACTTTTACCTCACAAAGACATCTTTTTCTAAAGAAAATTTTCTGAAAGCCAAGACATTCCTGTGAAAAGGAATTAATTAAATGGGATAGGGTTTAAAAATTTCTGATCAGAAAAGCTGTGGTCTGATCTAGAACAGAACTTGCATTGATTTCAGAAGATGCAGGACTTAATCCTAAACATTATGTATTTCCAGCCTACCAAGGCAATTTTTTTTTTTAAGACTTGAGTTTCACAGCCAGTGGAGTTGATGTGCAAGTTGGTCTGACAACCAGCACTGTGAGGCTGAAGTTACTGGCACAAAGATGGGGTGAGAATGGAGAAGTTACACTGACACCTAAACAGAGATCTTGTCTCCCAGGCTTTCACAGCTGCAATTTTAGCAATGCTTTTGTATAAGAGAGACTTATTTTGCCCACTAGGAGAATATCAGCTTGGAAGGACATGGAGAAATCTTACCAGTTACAGTCAAAAACGTCAAGGAGATGAGGAGATTTATACCCCAGTTCATGCTAGATGTCAAAGCCATGGCCCGTCCTCTGATCCCACCAGGGAAAATTTCACTCAGGACCAACCAGGACACTGAAACACAAGCAAAAAAATGTTTCTTTGGAAGGATGGCTCTCCTTGCTGTAAATCTAGGTAGTCCATGGATTCAGGTAGGCCACCTGAAAGAATAAGTTGATTTTCAGGGGGTTTGGTTTGTGAGGGCTCACGCTCTGCAGACAGCATGTGCAGCAATCAGCATCACCTCAGGTCACCATCCCTTCATCCCTGCCCAGTGGGTGCCTGAGCCAGTGACAGGTGGCACTGGACTGGGGAGGTGAGCTCTGACTGCACATCTGGGTAAGAAAGCGAGTTCTGGCTGAATAACTCTCAAGTGACATAACACTAATGGAAGTGGGGCAGCAAACCAAAGCAATCTTCAGCCTCAGAGGGGCACTGTGTGTTTATGCCACATTATAAATCAACCTGCCACACTGAAGTATGCTTGCTATTCCAGCTCTCTGCTCCACATAAATGAGATTGCTGAGGTATAAATGAAGAGAGAGGGACTGATTTTTGACTCCTTCATATCACACCACACCACAGGTGATCTAAATGCTGGTGCTGCTAGCTCACAAAAGCAAATTCAGACATGAAGAGCTGGCTGTGTAATCACCTTGATAGCAAGAGCAAAAAAAATTTTAAAATAAAAAGACATGGTTTTGTACCATTCCTGACTATCAGAAAACAAATGAACAAAAACCCAACCACAAACAAATCCAAATCCCAGCCAAAAATCTGCTCCACCGTCCCCTTTTGTTGGCAAGCAAGAAGCATTAGGAGAGGTTGTGGGTTTGCAGATGACTGGCACAAGAACAGTGAGGTACACTTAAATGAGCTGTGTCTTCAGACCCTTGGACAAAGCCATTATAAATTGCTCATCTGTGCTGTTATTTCTGCAAAATGACAGATGGGAGTTTACCCAGAACACTTGCACTGCACAGTCTAAAAGATACATTTTAAAAATACGCTCCTGTATGTCCAAGTGTGTTTCACACTGTACTATCCCTTTGGACGCTCATAGAATTCCTGTGTGACAGCACTGGTAAAGGTAGGAAAAAAAAGGTGTTTCAAGAGGAAACTGAAAAGGACTAGCTGAAATGGAAAAAGCCCCCTGAGTTTAGAGTCAACAGAGAAGATTTGAGCAAATACTAGATTTCTTTGTACCACAGATTTATTTTTTTTTTATGGACTTGGCCCAGATTTTTATATTTTTTAAAGAAAAAATTAAAAAGCTTCACTCCCACCATGGGAATGACCCAGAAGGATGACAATTTTATTACAGAGAATCAAGACCACACTTCATAATGGCCTAACACTGTTGGGCATAGTCAAATATCCATAACACAGCCGCCACGTCAAACAGCAGCCATAGAGAGGTTTTTGTTTCTTTTATTTTTTTATTTTTTTTTTAATGACTTGGATCACATCAAGGTTTAACACTTGCTGCTGACAAGGCAAACGTTGCTGTAAAGAAGCACCCTCGGCACGTTCTGTGGAGCAAAGAAGAAGTGAGGTGACTTCTCAAGCTGGTGTTTCTCCCTGCCAAGCCAGCTAGCCCTGCACCTGAGCACATCCACGGGGATGTCATCATTGTATTTTGCACCCTCCTCAGCACCAGGGCTATTGAAACTATTATTGTTAGTTACAACACTTCAGGACCTGAAAAGCAAAGCAAGGCAGCAAGTAAGCAAGAGGCAAAGGAGCCCTCCTGGGGCGGGCATGCTCAGCCCCTGCAGTTCACCTCCACAGCATGGCCTGCCAGCCAGCACACAAGCCCGCCTGCAAAACTTGTTACATATCAAAAATGGGCAAAAGGGATATTTACCATCACATTAGAATTAAAGATTTAAAGAATCCACACCTACTTTCTGCTGGGCATAAACCAACCCCAGGAACAAAGCAGTGTTCTGGGCACTGGAGGATGGCTCATGCTGCAGCTAAAACGTGTGGCACTGCAGCTACTCCAACTCCAATACCATGCAGTTTTCCAACGACAGACTGGCCCTTTCAGCCTAACTGATAATTTGTCTGGAGATTTGAATTGTGTCGTTTTCCTGTTAAGAAACCAAAATACTCAGGGATCTGCATCAGCTGTAATAGTGGTTAGCTGCTTTTATTGCAACTACTTATTTAGTTTAGATAGGTGCCACCAAAACACCAGGACTGTTCTTCATGCCTGCTAGTGGTAGCTACAGCCGCTGGCATGGCCCTGACCTCTGCTTAGCTGGCAAGGAATGGATAGGCTCATTCCCCAGGGGAGAAAGAGCAGTTGTAGAAATCTGACACTACAGTCTGTTTACTCTTTTCCCCAAGCTGAAGCAGCAATAACCATCGATTCTTTGCTTTTAGCACCTCTCTGGGATTGTGTTTACTATTTGTACCTTTGCCAAAAAGCAGCAGCTGCTGTAGGTATGGCAGGGATGTGGCTTGCTCTGGGGAAGTCAGCAGCTAGGTTCAGGCTCCCATTCATAATGACTGCTGCTACCTTCTGGGCTGTGCTCACAACCCTGCAGCAATTTAACCTCCACTCTCCCGAGGTCACTGCCAAGCTACCCGTGTGCTCTGCCTTCACCAGCCTAAGCAGTGGCATTCTTCAGGGGAAATCAGCCTGTCCTTGAAAAGAGGATCCAAATACCACCCTCTATCCCCCACCCCTCCATCTGCTGTGTAATCCAGCAGCATTTCCAAAGGATGCTGTGATAGTGACCACACTGCACATGCTCTGTAGGTTTCGGTGTCTGCTCTGGCCACCCCTGGCTGGTATTAGTGGAATGGACAGGAAAAGAGCTGGTGATGCCCAGGTCAGATGGAGGTAAGAGATGAGGCTAAGGGCTGGACAGCATGATTCTCTGTGCTCAATTCAGCAACTGCAGGATTTGTTGCTGCAGGCAGTAACTCACCTTTGCTGACCCGCAGTGTGTTGTGTGTTGACAGCAGTTAAGAAAAATTGTGCAGTTTAATGGTCCTTTATTATGGTACAATATAGAGAAAAGAACACACACTGCAAATGCAGACAGAAATACTGCATTGGATCAGAAAGCTTAACTGTTTCATTAAATATCACAGAAACTAGATGGCCTGATATGCCTTGCCCAAGTGGAAAGAGCAGAGTACTCAGATATAATAAACAGCCCCATGACCAGGATGGTGACATCCACCTCTAAACAAAGCCACAGGGGCTGTACAAGCAGGAAACAGAATAGCAATGGAAGATTTCAGCTAGTCCCATTAAGACTGAATAAAATGCATAATTGAGCACAGTGCTGGGAGTACATTATACATACCAGAGATGATGGTTCCTTTTAGCACTTTGTTGGATATTTAATGAGAGAAAAACAGGCAAATCGTGCTTCAGTGCTGAGTCTGGGTAATTCAAGATGCAACCATAACCAAGATGCTCTGTTACACTGCTTCTAACATTTAAAATTCAATATTCTTGTAGAAAGAGAAAAGCCAAGAGCCTACCACATTTTGTTTTGAAAGCGGAACAATATTAACATAAGCCTGCTTTCTATAAAGATCAAGGTAAGTGGTGCTCCAGAGAATGTTTAAACGACAGGGTTGAAGGCTTAAAATATACAGACAAGCAGATAAATTAGAATTAGCTCAGCACAGATAAACTGCTGAAGGAAGAAAACTGTTAGAAATAGGAATGTGCCTTTAGAAAAGGTGTACGTTGTGCCCAGACAAAGAAAAGTATCTTTCACAAGATACTTGCAATATGAAAAATATTGGTCAGTTAAATCATTAAATGCTGGGTGTCAAAACATTATTTCTCCATATGTGTGGAAGAAGATCCACCCAGAACTATTGTTCACAATAGTAAAAATACTTCCTCAATATTTTTCTTGAAGTTTTCTAAACTACAGATAGGCAGAAGGACAACTGTGCATGCTGCATGGGCCTCTTCTGCATTGTCTCACAGCACTTGTTACTGGCTGGAGGTTAATATAGTTGGAGGCAGGGTAACACACTGATTAAGTGGACTTTTTGTTTGAGCCAACATGGCCAAAGTAATGAACTTTATACCTGGGCTGTAAGCAAAGAGATATCTCAAGCTTCTTGTGATGTCTTCTTTATTTTCTTACTTCCTTACTTCCTTATTTCCTTACTTTACTGCTATGCAGTAAATAAATTTTAAAAAGAGAATTTCTCTTACATACTCACATCAGAGAAGCAGAAAAATCTGAGAATAATGAGAAATACCATGAGTTTCAGGGTAAAATTCAACATTCAAGTGAGGTACATGAACGAAAAACGTCTTTGTTTTGACCTTTCCTGCCAGGAGGTAGAAACAAATCGGAAGCTTCTCAGCAGTTCTTATTAATGAAATATTAGATTCCCTTGGTATTCATTTGTTGCTTAGCATTTTTTTTTCCTGTACCTCTATTGTGTGAGATCAAATTCTTTATGGTGAGATACAGAAAATGGCCATTGCAATACTTGAAAGAATTCAAGTTTCTGAGGAATAAACTCTGGAAAGCGATTAATTGGACTTACACCTTAGGAGGGAAGTGGGTAGAAGTATTCTAGATTTTAAAAAGGAGGACTGGATTGTTAACAAAACAAGGTCCAAGGGAAGATAAGGAAGGGATTATCCCATGAAGTGACACAGACAGACCATCTAAGAGCGTGTAACAAATGATCAGTGCTGGGGAAGGATGCAGACAAATCACTGCAAAGCTGCCATGAGACAGAAGGACTTGATTAATGACTGGCTTTGCCAAGACCAGATTTTTATTCCAGGCTTATGAAACCCAACAGGTTTTTAATTTTCCTGGCTTCTGGCTCTGCTGGGTATTACCAGAAACAGCCAGGTGGCCAACCACTTCCCACTAAAGGCCAGGTTCAGCAGTAGCTAGTCTTGATTTCAAAGGGCACGTTGTGCCATTGAAGGGGATAGCACAAGCCTTCAGTGTGCATGGTGGTGAGGTGTGTGCCTGTGAGGACACACAGAACTGGGACAGAGCTGGGCTCGGGAGACATGTGCTGCTGTCACACACCAGCACTGTCCCAGCACAGCTCCCTGCACC